AACCATTTCAGAGCGGCGCCTTCAAACGCCATAGAGGATACATCGATTTTTTATCGATTTAGAGAAAAATAACGTTCTGCACGAAGAATCCATCCATCAGGATCGGTTCCGTCGAAGGAAGGAATTTCCAGTTTACGACCTTTCACGACGAAGAATCGACTCGATCCTGCCGCTCCTCGTTCTTCCTCTTCGATTTAGCCGTTCCCTCCCCATCCTCACCGTCCGATGTTCCTGACAAAATCGCTTTAGCTGATACTTCGTTGCTTAATTTTTCCAATTGCTGAAAATTCTTCTCCAAATTCTTCTCCATTAACTGTTGATTCTTCTCCATTAGCTGTTGATTCTTCTCAATTGAACCAACACAGCTTTCCAGATCATCCATTCTTATTGTCGCACTTCTCGTTCCCATGGTTGAATCGAACTCGCTCTGATACCAATTGATGTAAATTGGTCGTAATCGGTGGTTTTCTATTGAATTGAATTGAAGAAATGGAATTACACGGCTTTCGAGAAGCCGGCTCTCTCCCTCTGAGCTTGCGCCCTTTTACAACTCACAAAACAGAATGAAAGCTAATCTAACAAACTCCCCACTATAAAGGGGATGTTCCATTATTCTATTGAGGAATTACCAAACTACCCTCCTCTTATTTACATCTAAAGTAAACTCAACTACTTAGACTTTCTTTTGTACGTAAAGCGAATAGTAGGCTTATCAATTTTCTGTCGGCCCAAAGATCTTTGGTAGTTCCTGTTTTGTCCGCGATACCCGACCTCACATAACTATGTTGGATCTAAAGTCTCTGAAATGTGACTTTCTTGGTTACTCTGGACTTCAAAAAGGGTACAAGTGTTTTTCCCCCATGCTTAATCGACACAGACCCAAGAGTCTACTAAACCACGGACTTGACACAGACCTAATAGTCTACTAAACCACGGATAGTTCATGTATATAATAGGCGGCAACGACCTACATCGGATCCTAATCCAACACCATCTTCATCTCGTTCTGTGATCTCTACACTTGATTCTTTATTTGTTCCTGAAACGGTTGGTGAAGCTTTGGCCCATCCTGGATGGCAGGATGCTATGATTGATGAGATGAATGCTCTCGATCATAATGATACATGGGATTTGGTAGAGTTAATTGTAGGCAAAAAGGCAATTGGCTGTAAATGGGTGTTCACTGTGAAAGTTAATCCAGATGGATCTGTGGCTCGTCTGAAAGCCCGATTGGTAGCCAAAGGATATGCCCAGACTTGTAGGGTCGACTACCACGAGACATTTTCTCCTTGGCTATGGTACCTTCCATCCGCCTATTTGTTTCATTAGCCGCTACTTACGACTGGGTACTACACCAACTCGATGTGAAAAATGCCTTCTTGTATGGTGATTTACATGAAGAAGTCTATATGGAGCAACCACCTGGGTTTGTTGCTGAAGGGGAGTCTGGTAGAGTCTGTAAACTGCGTAAATCATTGTATGGTTTAAAGCAATCCCCTCGTGCTTGGTTTGGACGGTTGCCGTAGTGATTGAGTTTGGCTTACGGAGGAGCTCTTATGATCATTTTGTGTTCTTTACTTCGTCATCTTCCGGATGTATTCCACTAGTGGTATACGTTGATGACATTGTGATTACTGGGAGTGATGAGACTGGGATCAAGAAGCTAAAAAATTTCCTTGCGTTTTGGTTTCAAACAAAGGACCTAGGTCCCTTAAAAAACTTCTTGGGAATTGAAGTATTCTCATACTCGAAAAGGGATATGTTTGTCTCAAGGGAAATATTGTTTGGATGTATTGAATGACTCTTGGTATGAATGAAACAAAACCTTGTGTGGTCCCAATGATTCCAAATATGAAATTAAAAGCGGACGATGGAGATCTATGGAGATCTAAACTACTTGACGATTACACGTCCTGACATCACTTTTCCAGTCAGTGTAGTAAGTCAGTTTATGTCATCTCCGAGAACTCCACATTGGGACTCTTAGGCATATACTGAAGTACCTAAAGGGTGCTCCTGGTCTTGATATCCTTTATCAAAATCACGGTCATCATGTCATAGAAGGGTTCACAGATGCCGACTATAATGCAGATCCTACTACTAGGCGATCTACGGCTATTGTCTGTTGGTTGTTGGTTGGAGGGAATCTAATTTCGTGGAAAAGCAAGAAACAGAATGTCGTGTCCCAGTTAAGTGTTGAATCTGAATACAGGGCTATGGGCCAAACCACTTGCGAGCTGATATCTGCTAGGTGAAATTGGGTTTGCTCAATCTAAACCAATGAACCAATATTGTGATAATGAGGCAGCTATCCACATTGCAAACAATCTCGTGTTTCATGAAAGAACAAAACACATCAAGGTTGACTGCATTTCACTCGTGAAAAGCTAGAAGATGGAATCATCTCAACTCCCTTTGTTCGAACAAGAAGTCAACTTGCTGATGTCTTTACCAAAGCATTACCTGGTTCGTGAATCTCTTTTATTTGTAACAAGTTGGGCATGATTAAAATCTATGCAGTATGCTCCAGCTTGAGGGGGAGTGTTAGAATGTAAATACGGTATATATTGGCTTAGGCCCATTAAGCCTGTAGGCCCTTAGGGTTCTCTTTTTTCTAGGTTTTCTGTCTATATATATCCTTGTATCTTTTTTTTGTAATATATAAGATAAAAGCAATGATATAATCCCTGATTACAGTCGCAACAGCCATGGAGCATTCCACCATGTCCCTATCCTAGCAACCTATGGACCAAGCCACAAGGACCTTTGCGCCTGTCTTCTACAGCACCGGGTGTGTTAGGTCCAAGACTACAACCAGCTGGGTTCATCGTCTTCTGATTTTGCTCCAATAGATATTGATCCTGCTCTCTACACCATGACACTCGATCCCTTGAATGACAATAACTGGTATATGGTCGCACATGACATCCAACCAAGGTACTCTCTCGTCCTATTTTAATTTGAGCACGAACAAAAATATTGTTGTCAGTAATGGTCACATGATTCCTATCTCCGGTTATGGCCAATCTTACCTATGCCCACCATACCGTCTATTTTCCCTCACCAATGTTTTGCATGCTCCTAAGCTAATTAAAAACCTTATATCCATTCGTCAGTTTACTATGGATAATGTTGTATCCGTTGAATTTGATCCTTTTGGGTTTTCTGTGAAGGACCTCCAGACGGGGCTGCATCTCATGTGGTGCAATAGCTATGATGATCTCTATCCTATCACAACCGTTTCTACTCGGACCGCCAACCCAACCTCTTTTGCTGCTATCTCATCGTCTCTTTTCTATGAACGTCTAGGTCATCCAGGAGCACCCGTTTTTGATTCTCTTAGAAATAAAAATCTTATAAATTGTAATAAGACTCATAGTTCTTCACTTTGTCATGGTTGTGAACTTGGGAAACATGTTAAGTTGCCATTTTATTCTTCATTTAATTTCACATCTGCTCTTTTTGATTTAATTCATACGGGTCTTTGGACTTCTCCTATTGTGAATTCACTTGGGCATCGTTATTATGTTTTTATTTTTGGATGATTATACTAATTTTTTGTAGACTTTTCCACTCAAACATAAGTCACAAGTTTATTCCACCTTCATCACCTTCTGCACTTTCATTCGAACCCAATTCGAAACCCCATCCGCATCGGGGAATATGATCACATCCCCATTGCAATCCCCAACTGGCAACGGGGAAACGAGGAATTTCTTTTTCCCGTTTATGTAAGTTGTTTTAAACTACAAACTACAAGCTAGGTCGGTTCCTTGTCTATGTGGACCGGGGAATCCCTGAGTTGACACGGGATCGAGATGGGGACTATCTCTATCCCTGACTCCGACTAATAAAAGTATATTTTTATGTATATATATACACACACATATATATATATATATATATATATAGAGAGAGAGAGAGAGGGGGAGGGAGGTCCGGGGAAAACCCCAAAAAAATAAAACTGAGGAATACCATGGTAATCATTCACCTGACCATATATATAAAATGAGTATAAATAATATGAGAAACCCAATAAATATATAATATAATAAATATAAATGATTTGATGATGGAAACTTGTAGAAAGACTTGGGGGGCGTTTGGTTCGTATAATGATTTCTGAATGAATGGAATCTGTCAAAGGAATTGGAATCTGGAAGGAATTGGAATGGAATGTTATCAGGTTTGACCAAGTGTTTGGTTGGACAGAATGAAATGTAATATGTTTAATGAATTGGAATATGCCTGTTTGGTTTGCAACAGAGTTAGAATGAAATGATAAAAAAGGACAAAAATACCCTTTCTTTGATATTTTTTTAACCGTTAAGCAAAAACTAGAAGCAACAAATAAGCAGAAATCGTTAAGAAGAAATTGGAAGCAGCAACAGTAATCGATAAGCAGAAACGGGAAGCAAGCAGAAATCGTTAACTAGATTCCGGGGAACCAAACGCGCCCTTACATTATTGGTTTGATTATTCATGGAGAAACTTTTGGTGATATAACAATTTGTAATACTCTTTAAGAAAAAACCGGTTTGTATAGGTAACCCGGTCCTGGGCTGGACCTGATTTTTCCAGAAAACTCATAACTGGTCCCGGGGTCATCGGGCCATAACGGTCACAGTCCCGGCCTGCCATATCTGGTAACTCTACTAAATACGTGTCTGGCCAAAGCCCTTGTGGCCAGGTTCATCTGCGATGTATTAGAGGTGGGCATGAACCGGTCGGAAACCCACGTTAGCCAAGAAAAAGAAAAAAAAAAAACTCCACCATATTCGTGTTAGTCTATAGGGTACTGAATGGCAAAGTTGTCCCTAGACCCTAAGACGTCTTCTCACTTCATTTGGGGGTGTTTTGATAATAATTCCCGTCAATAGATCCGTAAAATTGAAGATAAATGGAGCAAAAACTACACTGAAGCCTGAAGCCTTGGTTGTATCACTTTCCTTATAGTCAAGGAGTGTACATGTATTTAAAAAAATGAAGTTGTAATTTACCTAAGAAAAATTCGCCGGCGGTCTGATGAAGTCGGAGAAGTGGGGTTGAGGTGGAAGACTGAAGAAGAAAATGACTTTGAATCACTTGAAGCCGTCGGTGAGTTGCTGAATCATTCATGGCGATAAATAGATTTTAAAGTAATGAATTTGAGAACTGAAATCTCAGATTCTGTAACTCATCAATTTGCAGTTTGCACCGCGGTGTTTCCTTAAACATCATACTGTTAAAAAACAAAAATATCAATTGTTCTTATTTTGACCAGAACAAAGACTTTTGACTCGCATGATTATCTAAGGTACCCTTGTGATGACGATGTAGGTAGCGTGCGAAAACTCAAATGTAAATTATGTTTTATTTTTGTTTTTCTTTATCTATTTCGATGCTTAGTTTTACGTCAGTGTTAGTATATATATATATATATATATATATATATATATATATATATATATAGGGTCCCGTTCAAATGTTAATCAAAGTTTTTGTGTTAACTTTGTTAACCGATCTTGGCCATTCAATCTTTCAATAAACGGTTGTGATTAATTATGATAAAAACTTATTATTTTTAATTTAAAATTTCATAAAGATAAGTGAACAAAGTTGAAAAGGGTATTTAGGTAAAAAAAATTATGTAACTTCCATATCATTAATTAATTGGGAGTTACAATATAAAAAATTCTATGATTTTTTTGTTAATTTATTTTTGTAAATGTAAGGACCATATGTACACAACTATATATATATATATATATATATATGAACCATTGTGTCAAATGCGAACAAAAATTTGACATATATATGAACATGGACTGCATAGCATTTATGAACACAATATGAACATAATAAGAAAAACTGTTATACGAAAGGAAATAAGTAAAAAAACATGTATGAACACGATATGAATAGAATGTGAACTATTGTTCCTTCATTATAAACACATTCAGGAGCGATTCTTTGTCAATTGGAGTTTTATACATGCATTGCCGTTTAAGGTTCACCTCTTGTTCATATATGTTTCTGATCTTATATGGTTGTTCACCCCTTGTTCATATCGTGTTCATCCCTTGTTTATATCGTATAAAATATATGAACACCGGGTGCAAACACTTACACAAATATAAAGATTTGGTATCAAGCTTAAAAAATAACACTTGTGTTCATATGATAGACGTAACATGAACACAATGGTTCATGATTCATAAAATTCGGTAATATGACAATATGAAAATGGGTCGTGTATGTACTTCCATTTGAACATGTGATTTAGGTACGTATTTTAGTAATTAAAAAAACTATCAATACAAGATGAATTATAAAAACACAACACATCGTAATGAACATAATTTCGATTAAAACGAATCTAAAAAAAATAAAAATCTATTACCAAGACATTCGCTTTGGTTAATTTCTTCAATTTCCGACCTCGAACTCCGATTGTCATAATAAACCATTTTAATCTTCTCACTGTTGTCRATTTATATTCCATTGCGTTTATCCATATTAGCTTGATTGATACCAAAAAAATTTACTATCGTGTTTTCTATGCGAATTAAAAACTGATAAAACAATAAACATGGAATATCAAGATTAAAAAAAATAAAAATATTAATATCATAAATGCATATTTTTTGGGATTTGATGATTGGTAACTCCCCATTAATTGTTTGGGAGTTACATATCATATCAATTTACTGAAATACCCTTGTAATTAAAATGTGAACATGACATAAACCTACAAGAAGAATGGAATTTGATTGATTGTCATGGTTTTCAAAGTTAACACAAAATTGTTGGTTAACATTTGATCTCCCCCCTATATATATATATATATATATATATATATATATGTGGAGGTTCAAACGAGAACCCCTGTGATTTACGAGAACGTGAGAATAACTTAATAACCTCAAACCTTTTTAATTAATAAAATTAATTTTTATTATATATAAATAATTTAATAAGGACAGTAATGTAATTAAGTAATTTTTATGATTCTTATTTTATTTTAATCAACAATAATTATCCTATCACTTTTCCACTTTTACTCTTGTTAGTTTTCTTCTTCTCTATGTCGTTCATGTTTCTTCTCCATATCACACTCATATCACATGATTATCACACCAGATCACATGATTACACCAAAAATTTAACTTATCAACCAAAACGATAACCCAAGTGATGTATAACGGTGATTATCANTTAACTTATCAACCAAAACGATAACCCAAGTGATGTATAACGGTGATTATCACACCCATATCATCTGATTACACAAAAAATTTAACTTATCAACCAAAACAATAACCTAAGTGATGTATAATGGTGATTATCACACCCATATCACATGATTACATCAAAAATTTAACTTATCAACCAAAACGATAACCCAAGTGATGTATAACGATGATTATCACACCCATATCACATGATTATCAAATCTATATCACATGATTACACCAAAAATTTAACTTATCAACCAAAACGATAACCCAAGTGATGTATAACAGTGATTATCACACCTATATCACATGATTACACCAAAAATTTAACTTATCAACCAAAACGATAACCCAAGTGATGTATAACAGTGATTATCACACCCATATCACATGATTACACCAAAAATTTATCACATGATTATCACACTCATATCATATGATTACACCAAAAATTTAGCTTATCAACCAAAACGATAACCCAAGTGATGTATAACGGTGATTATCATACTCATATAACATTGATATCACATGAGTATCACAACTAATCGATTAAAAACTTGTCCAAAACGAGTAATTGTGAAAGATACCTTGAATAAACTTCTTCTTCTTGTTCGATTGTTGCATGCAATAGCTTCTTGGTTGTTTCGGTCGATCACGGTTGTTTTGCGATTTGATGTTACGACTTCTCCTTGAATTCTTAACCGTTTATTAGATAATGATAATAATGATCGTGTAATCGTGTTAAAATATTTGATGATATCATTTCCATTATTACCCTTTTAATTTTAATATTTTTAAAATTTTTTAAAATTTCAATTTTAATTTTAAAAATCTTTTAATTTTATTTTTATCACAATATGAGGTTATTGGGTTGTTCTTGCGTTCTCGTAAATCACAGGGGTTCTCGTTTGAACCATTCTTCTTTGAATTATGTAAATTAAAACTAAATAATGTGGAAGAAAAAGTCACAGATATAGATAACTTACTAACTAATCTAATAGAAAGAGTTAATAATATGAAAAGAAAAATTGACATCACACTTTACAAAGAAGAAAATAAAATGGCTCAAGACTATGAAGAACACATATTTATACAAACTACAGGATCAATTACTATGATTAATTTACAATGTAGATTATGGTTAAGTAATAATAAATTCTTAGATTTAACAGCCTTATTAGATACTGGAGCAACGAAAAGTATAATTTCTTACGGTTTAGTACCTATAGAATACCATAAAGAATTAACATATAAATTATTTACTAGAACAGTTGAAAACAGGTTAATTCAAATTAAAAACTACATAGAACCTACAGGAATACAATTTTTAGATTTTGAAGGAAATTACAGTATTAAATATGATATCCTACAAATAAACATAAATCCTGAACATATAAAATCAACAGATTTTGTACTTGGTTTAAACTTTATTTTTGGTATAAATGGAGGTATAACTATAAATCGAAATTTTATTACCCTAAGTAAACATAGTTACAGTTTTCCTACATTAAGCTATCAGCATACATCAGAGTTCGCCCGAAAGCGTGGTGGACAAGGGAACTTAGACTTTTTAAAACAACAAAATCAAACTAAATCTTTTGATGAAAATGAATCAATTAAATTACTTACTAGTTATTAACACACGAACTAGAAAAAAGGAAAGACATTATAACTACTATCAATCACCCTACAATTTTACATTTAGAAAAAATAGGATTAATTGGAGAAGATATCACAAAATCCAAAGTTAAATATATATGTAAATTTAAATTAAAAAATCCTGATATTACAATTAGAACAGCAAATATAGAATAACTCTATTCTATATTTGATTATTTTGTGCTTTAATATAATCTAAATTTTCTGTTAATTTGTTAATTAACTCTGTTCTTTTATCTATAAAATTATATATCCTGTCTAAATTCTGATTATTTCTTTTAACTTCTTGTTCTAAATTTGTTCCAAGATTGATAATTAAATCTGTTATACTGTCTAAATGTATATTTTCAGGATGTAAAAGATGTTTATGAGTTTTAGGAAATCTACAGATAAAATTACAATTTTCTACTAAAGTACTACTACTAGTTTTTTCAGTGAATTCAAGATTTAAAAATTCAAGCTTTTTCTGATTTAACGACCCTATGATTTCTAAAGTTTTTTCAGTATTTTAAGTGTCTATCTTCCTAAAATTAATTCCTTACCCTCAATTCCTTTCATTAATATTTTCTTACATCCCTTTTTATATACGCAACATAAAAGTCCTAAGTTATAAGACTTATAATATAAGCAAATATTTAACAAATTTACAAACTTTGTAAACCTTTTTTTTTTAAATCCATCACTATCTCCTTATAAGTATTAAAACATCAACTAATCCCTTAATTTTCACCTAAGCGGGTTCTCGAAAACAACAACAAAGATGGGCTTATGCATGCCATCATTTAATACTCGAGTCTGGCTTAGTCTTTTAAATTAAAGAATCGTTCTATGCTCTGATACCAACAAAGGGGGTATGGCGGATTTTTCGGGTTTCCGTTAAACCACTGAAAAATAAAAACATAAAGATAAAGAGAAAGAGGATAATATACTTCCAGATAAGTGCTCGGCGAGAAGGAGGGAGAGTATGTGTAACGGTGAGAAGGAGGGAGAGTATGTGCAACGGAGCAACGAAGATTTTTTTTAATTAAGCAAGGGATATAATATGAAGTACTGAAAAGGAATATGAAGAGTAAAAACTAACTTAGGAAAATAGAGAGAGAGGGAATTAGCAACTCATGAATTGTTATTTCACAAAAGGGTTGCATAAATTTTCTTAATTAATTTACAAGCAAGCTTAAGACATGTATATATAGGCCTTGAAATGATTATTTACAGTAGAAGTCTCTAAATTATTACACCTGACAAAATTTATAGCTAAAATTTCAAAAGAAGATAAGCATCTACAAATATTCAATAAGATAAGAATATATTATTATTACAATGCTAATATTTTCAAAAAGCATGTCTTCTTCTTCAAAGATG